ACTTGCTTGCACATTTATGTCACATACATATATTGTGGTATATTGTAGTAAAATTGTTTCTAGTGTGTCTGATGCACAGAGTTAAATGCACAGAGTTCTATAAACGCTACAATGTTCTGCAAAAAGTGCTGTGCTGTCCGAGATGTATCAGAGCTTTCTGCTGCTATAATTGTTAGGTTGGACCATAGGAAATAACGAGTATTTGGTAATTTTTGACCTGTAAAAAAAAATAGCAGTATTTTCAAATGGTTTAAATTAATAATGTGATGGATACCATGTTTGGTTTTTGTTTTGCTTTTTTCTGAGCTGCATTGTTTGTTCTACTAGTTTCTGTCTGATAAAGATAAAAATTTCTGCCTTGGGAAAAAGGTATAGCAAAGTAGAAATAGTTGGTGAGTGAATGATCTGGGATTCTTGGCTCCTATGTGATAAATACCTTCCCTGCTTGCTTAGGGGTGAGTCTGAATTATTCAGCATTCACTGGGAGATCTGGAGGCCTCTTGTGCCCACCCCAGGACTCTCTGATCCTGAAGGTGGACACTTGGGGGTAGGGGGTCCTCTAGGGAAGCAGGGCCTAAAACCACTGGAAGTTGCCTTCCAGCAGTTTAGGGGCAGGGCTGTGGCAGGTGGGTGACCTGGGAACTGAGTAAATCTAGGGCTTCAGGGCATGTTTCTTTTGTTCATAGGCAGAGATTTTGTGGTGTTCTTATTTATTAAATAGTTGAGACTGCTCAAAAAGTTTGTTTAACTGTGTCTTCCATATATGTGGGAAGAGGGAGCCTATCAATTCTCTGGAGTAGCCTAATTTCATATCTTTACTGCATCTCGAAGGTAGACCACAGCAACATTTTCATAATGGTTATGTTGCCTTACTAGAAAAATGCTTCCTTAAGGGAGACTGACTGACCTACTGAAAAGTGATAAAACATTTTGGAACCACATAATTTTCAGAGTCCTCAAGGAAATATTTGTTTTGGATTCAGTAATGGCAATACATTTGCTTTCCTTAGGGAACAGCGTTTCCCAAATAAGCATTTTCATTAGCTACCAGATGGTTTAGTTTATTAGTTGTGTTTTTTGTTTATATACATGTTTTTCTTCTTTTTCTGGCTTGAACCTTATTTCTATTCAGAAACAGATACTCATGTCATTTACCTTTGTGTGTCTTACCCACCTCAACTAAAAAAATAAAAAGATCAGTAGTTTCTTTTACAACATTTCTTCAACAAAGCAGCTGCTGAGGAAGGCCAAGTTTAGTGTTCCTCCAAAATATTTACATTGGTTCATGTCAGAGCACAAAACCAGATCTTTTTACTTAATAAGCTTGATTAAGACTGGCTAAAGACAAGCATTTAACTATGAAATAATTATTTCCTGTATTTTAAACTAAAATGAAATTGAGAAATAGGCTTTGGGAAAGAAAATGTAAGGCTATGGTGGTTCCTAATTGCAAAGATTTTCCTTTGTTGTAGACTTACGTCTCAACTCAGGCAAAATTTTTTTTGAATTCTTGATTATATACATTTTAACTGTGTGTTTTTGGGCTATTCTTTTGGTTATAGAAATATTTTTTAGAATTTTTATATTCTTACATGAATAGGTTTCTAATAGCAAAACACGCTTCCTGTTCAATATCATGTGATAAAATATTTGGAAAATGTTTGCTTATCTTCATAATCCTAAAGGAAATATTTGTTTTCAACTCTAAAACAGATTCCTATTATCTATCTGAGCAGTTTCCAAGTGTGTTGACTAGGACATTAATATTCTATTAGATGGTAATAGGGGTCCTGTGAAAAAATTCACTGATTTGCTTTTTCCTCCAAAATGCATTTAAAAATACCTCTATCTATCTATCTATCTATCTATCTATCTATCCATCCATCCATCCATCCATCTATCTATCTATGAAGAATTCCAAATACATTTAGGTGACTCATTATTATATATTTGTGACATTATTCAGCATTACATATCACACTTATAAACCTGTTTTTTTCCTTTAATTTCTTATAGCAGCTACCCTGTGAGACTATTTTGTTGCTGTCTACTTTAACCCGACTGTGTCTCTTAAATTTCTGTTAATCTTTCCGTGTGTTATTTAAAAGTGACTCTGTAGTCATTACATTTGGAAAAGTGAAGTAATTTGTATAATGACCACTTCCCATATATTAAAACCATCTTTTTTTAATCATTAATGATGCACATTCCTAAAGACAGATGATTATTTTATGATTTCTAGTAAATCCAAAATCTTAGGAAATACCTGGAAACCGGACCTCCCAGAACAGAATTGACTGTCAGTGGCAGTCTGTCGGGAGGACTGCTGCCTCACCAACTTTTCCTTTATGTGGAAACTTTATGTTTCACACTCCTTAAAACCAGAGGAGATTTAGGAAGACTACTTTGTTGCTGTCTACTTTAATCCAACTGCTTTCTTATATTTCTGTTTAAGAGATTTAAATATTTTTTAAATTTCTCTTAAATCTCTTTTAATATGGCATTTGATGTGTGAATAGAGGCACAGACAGCATTTACTAATTCACTGTACCGTGTATGTTGTCTCTTAAATATCTTTCTAAACTGATAATCTAGAGAGCAAATGTTGCATTCGCAACTATTTTCTTTCAGTTGGTTTGAGTGCCACTTAGTATGGTTACAGTAAGTGAAGCTGGTGGACTTGTCCAGCTCTCATAATCATAGCTTTACAAATAGAACGTTAATAAGTGCAGACCAGAAAATAAAACACAGTGTTTTCCTGTAGAGATAAGAGACTACTCTGTCTTCTCTTTTGTGGTAAGGTTTTCACATATTTGAAGTTCTGAGACTACCTTTGATAATAGATACGTTAATTGTACTACTTGTATTTTGGGTCAAGGAAACATATTCAAAGTTTGTCATTTAATTGGTTACAATGGTTCAAAGATGGAAGGACCACTTACTGAAAATCCTTCACTAAAACATGGGAATACCCTCTCAGGTTTCTTTACTCATAGAATTAATAGGGATTGCTAAATATAATTTCAGTGAGCACTCAGGAGGTGCCAGGCACTGCGCTAAGTGTTTCACCTGAATTTTTACTTTTAATTTAATTAGGTGGCTTTGAAAGTTGACACTTCTCATAAAATTCAGTCTGTGGAACATATACTGTTTGGGTTAAAAATCTTCATGTAAATTCCTACAAGCAAATCGAGTGTGGATGTGCAGTGGGTGATTTTTATGCTTAAATATCTCAGCTGGATTTAATTACCTTAAGGGATAAGGCTACATGATGGGCCAGTGGTTTACCAAATTATTTTTCATTTTCTGGATCTCAGTGTCACTGAAGGTTAATGCATCTTCTCTTCCCTGCTAGAGACCCGAGTTAAAATCCATTTTAGGGCATAAGTGTAAATGAATTTGTTGTTGTTGTTTCCTCCTTGGGGACACTGTGGTCATTTTGTGAGGCTGCCTTTCCGTTTGGAATTGCTGGCAGCTTGCTCTGGGCCCAGGGGCTCTCATAGCAGGGGCAGTGCAAGTCAGCGCGCAAGTCAGCGTGCAAATGAACTGGTAGGCTTCAGAGGGCAGAGCTGGCCCTGGGCTTGTCACTCTTCCATTCCTTGATTCTTTCTTGGTTAACTTAAGGAAACTTGCTTGCTACTGACATTTGATTATAGCACATCACAAGGCAAGTGATGTGGTTGTGGGTAAGCCATCACATTTTCTTTACCTGATTTCAGGCTGGTTTCTGTTTGGCAGCTACAAAGGTTTCTCTCTTCACTGTCCACACACTCCTAGATGACTCCTTAGAGTGGTGTAGATGTGTGATCAACATTTGTGATCAATATGTTTCATGGCTTTCTTTACCGATTGCTTTAGAGTAAATGCTTCATTCTTTAGGAGGATGTTTGTAGCCATAATTACATTTAAGGGTTTTACCCCGAAGTATTATTAGTTATTTCCTTTATCTGTACTTATTAGCAATATTTAATATAACCTAAGCAGGGAATAATACTCATAGCATTTTCATCCCTGAAGGAGCTCACTTGTGTTCTTTCCCTCTAAGCTCATCCTGTCATTTCTTTCTCTCAAAGAATAGCATGTAGAATATGTTCTTTAAGTTTTTTTCTTTGAAAATGCACAAGATCTTTATACATAAAAACAAACATAATTTCGTATACATAAAAAAGTGGGATTATATCATGCATTCTGTCTTTTTATTTTTTTCTCCTTTGCAGATGTCACTTTGAGTTTCAAAGTGTGTTAGTTGCTCCAGGTTCCCTGAATCCTTCATGTTCTCCGTTTGCTATAGGCATTCCTGTACCAGTTTGATTTATCCAGCCCTTTTGTCTTGAAAATCTCCCAAACCACTTTGCGCTGGGAGTATCTTCCTCTTCATGTTTTGTCTTCCAGTCACCATTCATATCCCATTTCTTTTATCAAACTGAATCAGGACAAGGAGAGGTGATGACTACTATTGTCCACTTATAGCATTCATGTAAAAAAATGTATTTACCTCTGTGTGATGTGTATTTGAAAAGAGTGAGAGAGAGCCCGACTCTTGGTAAACACAGAGTCATGATTGCTGTGAGAATAAGTTCTTTTTAAAACATTTACATAGTGTTTATTTTTAAAGTCTTAGTTTAAAAAAAGCTAACTTTGAGTGAAAGTTGATTAAACCATTAGTACATGGGATTCTTGTGAGAATGTGAATGGTAGAATCATTTAAATAGGGAAGTCTCTTTCCATGTGTCCATTGACCAGTATGTGTGTGGGCATAAATAGTGTGCTGTGGTGCTGTGCACATGCTTTCATATTTATCTTTGTCAAGATTGTTTTATCATTATCTTAGGTGAGAAAAACTCTTCCCTAGCCACATTATACTCTACAGAGTCTTGTACATGCTGGTAAAGTTCTCATAAGCTCCCTTTTGTTAGTATTTTTTTAAGAAGTTTTTCTTATTTATAATATTGCCAGGTTATTAAGTTGTACTTAATTGTCTCTGTTTTTACTCTTTTCAGGTGTCAGCAGTTGAGTCTTTGGAGGGCCCTTTGCTCCAGGTGGAAGGACTGAGTGACCTTCGTTTAGAACTTCACAGCAAGAAGATGAACCTCCATTTGGTTCTCATAGATGAACTGCACAGGCACCTGTACATCAAATCGACTAGCCGAGTTGTGCAGCGTAACAAGGAAAAAGGGAAAATGAGGTTGGTTAAAAAACAAATGGGTGGAATGGTGTGCACCTGTAATCTGAACTACTCCAAAGGCTGAGATGAGAGGATGTCTTGAGCTCAGGAATTTGAGCTGCAGTGAGCTATGAGTGTTCCAGTGTACTCTAGCCTGGGCAACTGTGAGAAGACCCTGTCTCTTAAAAAAAAAATAGATGTAATGATTGAATTATAAGATTCTTTGTTACTTAGGGTTATGTTCAACTTTAGGCTGTACTTTTTCTAGAATAGTTTAGGAAAGGTTCAGAGAGAACGCTTTTATTCCTCGGTTGGTAATAGCATAGCCCTATATTTAATGGCCTGGATAGTCTCAAGAAATTCATTAGCCTGGTAGGGAATAATACTAGACCTTAAGATGGTAAAACATTGGAGTTTTTAACGTATGTTAGATAGCTGTGCATAGTACATGTCCTTCCAACATTTCTTTAGAATACACATCTTTTCAGAGGGCATTTTAGCACTATCTACTGAAATATATGTGTTCACACTTTTTCATTCAGATATAGACAAGAAGAGCACTGGAAGCAGTATGTACTGGGAATAAAGTCTTTCAAGTCTTATCCTGTTTGAATAAAAAAATCCCAAATTTGCATATGATGCTTCAGGTTAGTCACAGACCCTGACAGAGGAAGAGAAGATTTTCTTTTCAGCAGTTGGACACTAGAAAAACTTCTGGCAGGCAGGCACACAGAATTGAGCTAGGGATATATACCTGAGACATAACTTCAAGACTGACTCTGACTAGGGTGTCTGTCGATACCTCAGCAGAAAGTGAAGTGATGGCTAGGGGAGGTGCTAAGGAATTCTTCCCACAATGCCTGGTGCTAAATAGCAGATCTGAAGAGATTTCTTCCCATGCAAGGTTAAGTAATAAAATCACTATGAGTTTTGTGACTATGTTCTGTATTATAAGGGAAAATGAGCATTACTTTGAGGTCTCAGAGGAAGAATGTTTATTTAAAAAATTTTTTTTAAAGCAAGCAAGAAACATTTAAGAGACTTAAGCTCAAGGTTTCTCAAAAAATACAAGAAACACGATGTAGTAGACTATTCAGAATAATCACTCCTTCCCCCTCTACTTTAGTGGGAGAGGTATATTTCCTACCCTTTGGTTTTAGGGCTTTGGCTTTTGCCATCATTAGGGTACATGACACAAGCAGGGGCTTCAAACGTGCATATGTCGGTGAGTGTGGCCTCTCATGCCTCTGCCATTGCCTTGCTGTTGGTCCCAGGAGAAGGGTGAGAGACACAGGGAACTGACTGAAGATCAGCAGACCTGCCTCGCCTAGATCAGCCAACCACCAAAATGTATGCTTATTGTTGAGATTTTGTGGTTATATGCAGCAAGTACATAGCTTCTATGAAACAGTAACAGGGAGCGACAAGAACAGAAGGAGGAGAGATGCTAACAGAGCCAACTTAAACATGAACAAAATGTAAGGAAACCAAAATGAAGTAGAGACATTTACGTCTTTATTTAAAACTTTAGAGACAAGATCTGAATCACTGATGTGGAGGGAAAACTTTCCTCAATGAAGAAGAAAAAGACAAGATGCTGAAAGGAAGATGATAAATACAAAAGTTGAGCAGTGGTCAATCCAGTGATTTTAGGGTTTCCAGAGGATCACACTAGAATGATAGTGTTTGGGCTGAATTATGTCCCCCCTAAAATTCATGTTTTGAAATCCTAATCCCCAGTACCTCAGAATATGATAGTATTTGGAAATAGGGTCTTTCAGGAAGTAACTAAGTTGAAAGGAGGTTATTCGTGTGGGCCCTAATCCAGTAGGACTGATGTCCTTATGAAAAGGAAATGTGACGTAGTTGGAGGGAAGACCATATGAAGACACAGGTAGATGGTGGCCATCTACAAGAGGAGAGAGGCCTCAGAAGGAAGCAACCACGCCCACACCTTGATCACAGACTTCCAGCCTGCAGAACTGTGAGAAAGTAAATTTCTGTTGTCTAAGTTATCCAGTCTTTTGTTACTTTATTATGGTAGCTGGAGCGAACTCAGAGGGGATCAGAAGCAATAATTAGAGTATAAATAAACCTACTTAAAAAGAAAAACAAGAACTTGTTCTGCAAATCAAAAGAATTTAAGGTAAAATTAATAAAAAAAAAACTTTACTGTTAGATATAATCTGGAAATGCTTATGCTTTTCAGAAAAGAATTTTATAAGTACCAGGAAGAAATAGTATGTGATCTGAAGTGACAGAGATAATTATTTGCCCACCCAATATTCATTCTTCCCTTTATTTTTAATGACAATCTTTACTTTGTTCCTGGTGGCCATAGGCCCAGCTATAAGGCTACATTTTCCCTCCTCCCATATAGCTAGAGAGTGATTAGTGGGACTTTGGTTTGCAAGCTGTTGAATGGGGAGGTAATTAATTTTTCAGATATTCCAGTTAAACTGGTATACCCACTCTTTTACCCTTCATTTGCCTTTCCTTACTTTCTATCTGGTACATAGATTGGTGCCATCAAGACATCCTAGACACAAGGTGACTTTGAGGACAGAAGTCGCATCTTGAGCTCCATGATTCACACTGAACCTGCTTTCTAGTTCTGGGTGGGGTACCTCTTTTCTAGCTCTGGGTGGGGTACCTCTTTTATATGAGAGGAAGTCTTTATTTTACTCAGACCACTATTATTTGGTCTTCTGTTTTACACACTTAAATCCAGTTCAGTTGCATAGTAAGGAACAAAAATCAGGCTCACCAGGATTTGCTAAATAGTAAATGCCAGAAGACAATAGAGCAAAGTCCATAAAGCTGAATAGAGAAGAATTGGGATCAAAGACTTCTCTACCCAGCCAAGGGGATGTGTCAGACATTCTCAGAGATGAATTTATAATAAAAATCATTAGTATTCTTTTTCTGAGCAAAATACTCAGAGGTAAACTATAACACATAAGACAAAATTACAACTGGAGAACAGTAAAGTTGTTGGTAGTTTGAAACAACTTTGAGGGTCACATACCGTTAAATATATACATGTATGTATATGTAAGTAAGTGACATATACATTTTTACAAGATTGAAAATATCAGCTAAAAACCATTGTTGGAAAAAAGGTCGGCCGAGTGCAGTGGCTCACACCTGTAATCCCAGCACTTTGGGAGGCTGAGGCAGGAGGATCACTTGAGTTTAGGAGTTCAAGACCAGCCTGGTCAATGTGGTAAAATCCCATCTCTTCTAAAAATATAGGCCGGGTGCGTTGGCTCACGCCTGTAATCCCAGCACTTTGGGAGGCCGAGGCGGGTGGATCATGAGGTCAAGAGATCGAGACCATCCTGGTCAACATGGTGAAACCCCGTCTCTACTACAAATACAAAAAATTAGCTGGGCACAGTGGCGCGTGCCTGTAATCCCAGCTACTCAGGAGGCTGAGGCAGGAGAATTGCCTGAACCCAGGAGGCGGAGGTTGCGGTGAGCCAGGACCACGCCATTGCACTCCAGCCTGGGTAACAAGAGCGAAACTCCATCTAAAAAAAAAAAAATAAATATATATATATATATATATATATATATATATATATATGAAAGTTAGTCAGGCATGGTGGTGCACGCCTGTAGTCCCAGCTACTCAGGAGGTTGAGGCAGGAGAATCACTTGAACCCATGAGGTAGAAGTTGCAGTGAGCCAAGATCACGCCACTGTATTCCAGCCTTAGTGACAGAGCAAGACTCCATCTCAAAAAACAAACAAAGAAACAAAAGGTCTATGTAGTTAAGGAATAGCCTCTAATAACAAACAGGATTTAGATTCTTTTTTACTCAGTTGATAGTCACTAGGAAATTTGGATAGATAGGAGAAAGCAATGCTGAATTCTTGCTTAAGATGAGTCAGAAGTTTTGTTTTGGACTTAGAATAATTAGGGAAAATATGTTTAATTTTATTTTTACTAATCTAGATATGAATATTTAAAGATTTTTATATTTAAAAATTAACAGAGAAGACAAAAATGTTCCCTATTACAAAGGATATTGTAAGTAGCCCTTCTTTGTCAGCAGGGGATACATTCCAAGACCCACAGTTGGTACCTGAAACTGCAGATAGTACCAAGCCCTGAATCTACCTGCACAGTAAATCCTCACTTAATGCCCTCAATAGATTCTTAGAAACTGTGACTTTCAGTGAAACGAAGCTGTAACTTTAAGTGAAATGACGTACAGAAGGTCCTAGAATAACATTGTGTCCTTCAAGTTCCTCTGTTGATGAGAGAAAAAAAAAGTGGTTTCATTATATGCCAAGATTCTTGATTGCAAATAGAGGAAATCAGTCTGGGTAACTAAAACAGGAAAATAATTTATTGGAAAGTTATCAGGTTGTTCACAGAATCTATGGGAAGTCTGTATAATCAGGCTCTAAAACCCAGTAGGAACCAACGGAGATTAAGCAGCTGAGCACATAGTCTTAGACAAACCACAGGAAGGGTCTGTTTGGATTGCTGTTTTTGCTGGCACCATGCCCACAATAGCTGGATTTTAAACTCTGTAAATGATCTCTAAATGTCCCTGCATCTTTCCTTATCTCTTCAAGATTAAAAGTTCTGGATTCAAGCATCCAGTTTGCTGGCCTCCTTCAGCTTCCATAGTAGGAAGTGGGGCCTTTTTGCTTTGATGCAGTCAGTGGGAATAGACTGGTCAGATTTCTACTGCAAATTTCTACCAACAAATTTCTACTGCAGGAGAAAACAGGAAATCACACGAAGGCACTTACGTATAAAGACCAGACATTTTTGAAGTAGAAAATAGGCAGTAGAATTGGCAAATGAAAGAAAGGTACACGCTTACATACAAATAATAAAAATTCTATTTGGAGGAAATGAAATGAATGATGAGACTCTCCTTGTTTTTGGCTCATAAAGATGTCAGTTCCGGTTAAATTCCAGTTGAAAATTTTGAAACTGTCAAATGAAATCAGAAGTTCACATGAAAGAATACATACATAAGAATTGTTTAAAAGAATTG